CAACACCCGGCTATTTTTTGGTTGCAGCCATCATTGTTGTTTGGCGGATCCGGGCTGGGGATTCGAACCCGCCACCTTAGGTGTACGTGGCTGGCGCCTCAGCTGGTTGAGCTATAGGCGCCGAGCCACACAGGATTTCTTAATTAAAGTTTTAATTGCTTCAGTAGATGATGTAGGATGGGGTAGGGCTTAACCAAATTAGGGATTTCAGTGAAGGTTTTCTAAGGAAAATGATAATTGAACTTAGACCTTAATATCTTAAGGCTTGGTAGGAAATTAACCAAAGGGGCTGTTAAGAGTGGGTAGAAAAAACATTCTAGGGAAAAGGAATAGCATGTGCAAAGTTCTATTGGTAGAAAGACACACTAAGGCAGGAACAGTGGTTCTTAAAGTGTGGTTCTTAGCGACCCTTTGAAGCGGACTGTGGGATTCTCCCTTTTCAGTTGTATATCTCTAAGAGACTAGATTTTCTTCCTATACTTAAGAAAAAACAATGTATCATCTCAGATCAACTGCAAAGTAGAGTTGAGTAATTATTGTAGAGTAACTAATTGTAGAATTAGTAAATGCCTAAAAGTCTTTTAGTTTGTATTTTTTAGAGACAGGATCTCACTATGTTGTCCAGGCTGGATTGGAACATCTGCGCTCAAGCGGTTCTTCTACTTTAGCCTTTCAAGTGGCAGGGACTACAGATGCACGCCTCTAAGCCTGACTTACATTTTTATTTTAATTTCTAACATAATTAATACTGCTTGCTATATTTTGGATGTGGTTTGTCCCTGTCAAAACTCAGGTTGAAATGTTTTTGTCAATGCAGCAATGTTAGGAGATGATGGTATCTATAAAAGGCAATTAGATCATTAAGATGGATTTCTTAGTGGATTGGGCTAGTTCTTTTGCAAGTGTATCCTTTCTGTCTGGCACATTATGATATTTCAGGCTCATCTTGTTCTTTCTCTGCTCTAGCCCTGGAATTAGCCTTTCTCTAAGAAGCCCTGCTTCCTTTCACAGGCACATTGTATTTATAAACCAAGAGCTGGACACTGTGTAGGCTCATTACTACTAGAGTATTTGCTGCTTTTAGGTCCTCTCAGTGGACCGAGCTAGAAGAGATAAGTACACGTGTTTACATCTATTTATTTCTATCTCTAAATGTAATTCAAACCCAACATCACAATGTTCATTCCAATTTTTTTCTCTACATACTATATACTTATAACTTCCTTCTTAGACAATATTAACCTTAATATGTTTATCTGTTTGATACCTCTTCCTTTGTTCAGTTGTGTGTGTGTGTGTGCATGTGCGCGACATACAAAAGGTGTTGATGGCCTAGAATGCTAATCATATGAATTGGTTATTGATGTAGTAACACTGTATTTATTAAGCAATAATTAGCTAGAGAATAGTGATACTTGGGAGTAACAGTACATATACTGTATATGTAATGATAACAGAATTAAGTATTGTAGAGCTTTTTAAGTACTTAAGTTTCACATGCCTGTCGTTGAAGATAGTGTACAAAGTTTTTCAAAATTAGAAATTTTTTTTGCAGGTAAGTGGGGAGATGAGATCTGGATTGAGTGAGTTGTAAGGAGACTTGGATTCTAATATCAGCTATCCACTAACTCATCTGTGTGCCATTAGGCATATCATTTAACTCTGTCATTCTTCTCCTATGAGATAGGGGATTGTCAAACTAAGGCAAGATAGAAAGGATAGCTGGTTACTGAGTACTTGCAGAGCCTGTGAATTCCAATGTTAGAGTCACAGAAAGAGCAACAGAGGGAGGGAGGGGCAAGAGTGGAGAGGGGAGAAAGAGAACCTAGTTATGTGAAATAAGTGATTTCATTTATATGCATAGATAGAAAATCCTGGACATCCCAAAGTTGAAGGGAATATCTAAAGAAACACATATTAGTCGTTGTATATGTAGTTACATGTATGAACTCATATATATGCTTTACATGTGACCTTCCTTACTGTTTTTGATTACAGCTAGCTGATATTCATATTATATGTTATAATACAGTATAAATAATCAAGATTTTTCACATTTATATTTCTCTTTGAGTCAGGTATTAGTGTTCCCTCTATATGGATGTGGATGCTGAGGCTCTGAGGAGAGGTCCACTTACTTGCCTGATGTTAAACACCTAGTGAGATGGAATTTAATTTGAAGCTAGGTCTTTTTAAGAAAGATCTTTTATATTGTGGAAAATTTCAAATTTACTCTTACTTTTAGTTCTGAATGTATATTCCACAATTAGTTATACTTTTCAATCTTTTTAAATTTTATTTTCCCTTCTCTCACTTTTTATTGTTGTTGTCTGCTATAGCATTTTAAAATAAATCCCTGATATCATGTTACTTAAATCAGTATTTGTATCTAAGAATGTATTTTTTTTTTTTTAATATAGCAATGGTGCAATTATTGTTGGGGTTTTTGTTTGTTTGTTTGTTTGTTTGTTTTGACCAAGTCTCACTCTGTCTGCCTGGGTAGAATGCCATGGCATCATCATAGTTCATAGCAACTTCAAATCCTAGCATTCTGGGAAGCCGACATGGGTTGATTGCCTCAGCTCAGAAGTTTGAGAACAGCCTAAGCAAGAGCAAGACCAGGGGTCCTTAAATTTTTTAAACAGGGGGCCAGTTCACTGTCCCTCAGACCGTTGGAGGGCTGGACTGTGGGCCCTGGAACGAATCAGCTGCTAAGCAGGACAGGCAGTGGCAGCAAAAACACCCAGCAGGCTAAATGTCCTTAGCGGGCCACATGTGGCCTACGGGCCATAGTTTGAGGACACCTGAGCAAGACCCTGCCTCTACTAAAAATAGAAAAAAATAAAACTAAGCTGGGTGTAGTGGTACATACCTGTAGTCCCAGTTGCTTGGGAGGCTTAGGCAAGAGAATGGCTTGAGCCCAAGACTTTGAGATTACTGTGAGCTGTGACAGGCAATCTACCCAGGGTGACAGAGTGAGACTCTGTCTTGGAAGACAAACAAATAAACAAAAATACAGGTGAGAAGAGTTAAGATGAAAAATATTAGTAGTTGACAAGGATATGGCACACCTGAAAAATATTAAATGTTGACAAGGATATGGCACAGTTGAAACACTTGTGCAGCACTGGTAGAAGTGTAAATTAGTACAATCATTGTGCAAAACTATTTGGCAGTATGTTCTTAAGTCGCATACTTAAGGGTTAAGAGTCAAGTTGTCCTTTGACTTAGCAATTCCACTCCTAAGTGTATAACCAACAAAAATGTGAACATGTATACCAAAAGCCACATGCAAGAGTATTTATAGTAGCATTAATCAAAATACCCAAATACTAGAAATAATTCCATCAACAGAAAGGCTAAATCAATTTTAGCATACTTACAAGTGAATACAGGTGACACTGTGTGCCATACCATGGATGAATCTCCCGAACATAATATAGTAAGCAAAAGAAGCCAGATACTGTTTTATAAGATACAAAAACAAGCACAGTGAATCTATGTGTTAGAAGCCAAGAGAGCAGCTGTTAATATTTTTGGTGGTGGTGAGGTGGTAGGGTAGTTTTTGGGAGGGGGCACATGGGATGTTTTGGAGTGTTGGTTATGTAGTATTTATGTAGGTCAGCGGTTCTCAGCCTGTGGCTCGCAACCTCTTTTTTCCATTTGTAGCACCATGGCGATTAGGAAGGTTGAGAACCACTGATCTAGGTGCTTGTTAGGTATGTATATGCACTTTGTGAAACTTGAGCTGTGTACTTAAGACTTCTGCATATTTCAGTATAAACATTAAAAGTTTGATAACTATGTACATTTTTGTCTTGTTTTAAAATTTGATAGCAAATAAATGCCATTCAGTGACAAATTTTAAAGTACCTGCATAACATGACGTTGGACAGACTGCAGTGAGAAGATAGTTAGAAATCATCCCTAAAGTTGATGCAATGCTTTTGTTTCTGGTTTTGTATTTGTTTGTTTTTAAAAGTATCTTAGTAATGTCTTTTTGATCTCTCTCTCTTTTTTTTATTAATATAGCACCTCACAGATACCTCTCATGGTGTAAGAAATAAGTGCCTACAATTACTTGGCAATCTTGGGTCTTTGGAGAAAAGTGTCACAAAAGATGTAGAAGGCTTAGCTACCAGAGATATCCAGAAAATTATAGGGGATTACTTCAGTGACCAAGAGCCACGTGTCAGAACAGCAGCTATAAAAGCCATGGTAAAAATGATTCTGGAAGCTAATTTGGGATAGTTTTCATTTTGGGTTTTTTTTTTAAAGGTCATGACTAGTGCTGTCTTAGGTATATTCTGAATCCCCTCAACATACACCCTATGTACACTTTCAGGAAGGATTAGTGGCATTATGGAACTCACTATTACACATTTCTGTATAACAAATGTGCTTTTCTTTGGGATTCTCTGGAAGCTTTCATCTGTACTTCTGAAACATAGAAGGTACAACCTGAACCTGTTATTAGTATAATCCAGGTGTTCTCAAACTACGGCCCGTGGGCCACATGCAGCCCGCCGAGGACATTTATCCGGCTCGCCAGGTGTTTTTGCCACCACTGCCGACTTAGCAGCCGACTTGTCCTGGGGCCCACAGTCTGGCCCTCCAACGGTCTGAGGGACAGTGAACTGACCCCCTGTTTAAAAAATTTGAGGACCCCTGGTATAATCCCTTCAGCAGAAAGGGATGTGACTTGATGTTAGTAACAGGAAGAGATGGTGTTAGCCATCTCTTCCTTAGCCTTCAGATCATTATTTTATTTTCTGAGACAGAATTTCACTGTGTCACCCTAGGTAGAGTGCTGTGATGTCACAGCTCACAGCAACCTCAAACTCTTGGGCTTCAGCAGTTCTCTTGCCTCAGCCTCCCAAGTAGCTGGGACTGCAGGTGCCTGCCACAACGCCTGGCTAATTTTTTTGTTGTTGTTGTTGCCGTTTTTATCGTTGTTTTAGCTGACCTGGGCCCAGTTCAAACCCACCAGCCCCGGTGTATGTGGCCAGCACCCTACTGACTGAGCTACAGGCACTGTCCTACAGATACTTTTTTTTAATGTAATGATTTTTCTTCCTTTGGGTAGACATCCACTAGTAGGATTGGTTTCTTATTTAAATAGCACTGGTTTTGACTAAGGGAATTGTCAGTGTGCTATAATAGGCGAAAATATGTGAGATTAAAGGGAAACATTAGAAATATTGATGTTTTTCTCCCAAACATTTAAACTGTGTTTTTATTATCTAGTTGCAGCTCCATGAAAAAGGACTGAAATTACATCAAACGATTTATAGTCAGGTACCTTAAATTATTATCATCTGGAATGGGAGGGGAGTTATTATGAAGCTGGGAGGATGGTACTTTGTTTTTAGAATTTGAAAACATGAGGAATGTCGCAGGCTGATAGTGGCAACATTAACTGGGGTGATTGTGAGATCATATTCAGAACATTTTTTCAGGAAGAGAATGGGGGGTAGGCAATTATGTAGCACTAATACATATGAGACAGACTTTTAGCAGGATTTAAGTAGCTCAATATCAGAAGAGCTTAGTATTTAGAATAAGGAGAGCAGTAGTCTTGCTGATCTCTGCTTGGGCTAGACATTAAGTTATTTCTGAGCGCCACACTTAACAAACTAGAGAGAATGGTGACCAAGACCCAGGGATCACATGAAAAGATATCATATGATATATTATTAATAAAGGCTTAATGAAGTTATGGAAAAGCTGATTGACAGCCTAACCAAAATGTCTTACAAGTAATATTTCTTTTGGACAATAATTGGATGAATCTGGCGACAGACAATCTAAATCCATGCTCAGAGATCAGATTTTATCAGGCTGCCAAAATGGTTTTATTTCAAGGGAAGATGGCAATTAGCAAAGCCCCTATAACTGCTATGTAAGCCAGGTTTATTCTTTTACAAAAATGAAGCAAAATGGATCCAGAACGCTTGCGTTGGTGTGACCATCTTTTCTCTTCCTATTGGAAAACTATGTGGGAAGCAAAATAATTAAAGGAAACTTGGAGAAGACAAAGAAAAGTTAGTTGGCTGATTCGGGTGTTTAGTGGTCTAAGACAGTATCAGTAATCTAGGGAAGCATTAATGAAACCTCAAGGGAGTGAAGATGGAATGATTGTGTGGGATTTGAGATATATGGTGGACTGTGGTTCCACAATGAGTTCAGTTTTGATTATGTGGAGTTTGAAAGATTGATGAGGCATCTATGAAGAAAGTTATAGGCTAAAAGTAGTTATGAAGGTCTGGAGATGAGGGAAAATTATAGTTGCAAGTGGAAGAGTGAGTGAATTGAAACAGAGGCCAATGATTTTAGACCAAAGTAAACAGAAATATGTGCTTTGATTTTTATAGGCAGCGAGGGTTGGGAGGGTGGGAGGGGGTGGCATCTTTGGTTTTGAACCTTTAAGAGTAGTACTGTGGGCTCCCAGTAAGCTTTGCTAGGTATGATGCCATTCTAGATGGTCTTTATGCTGTGGTCTGAAGGCAGTCTCTGGTTCTGCTTTCAGACCTGGGGAAGAAGGGCTCACAGTCAGAATATAGCCAGAGCAGCTGACACGGCTGAGCATTCTTTGTTGGGCAGAGGTTTAATAAGTTAAAACCATCCACAAGTATTTTGTTTGGCATCCTTATCCAGCTACCCTATCTTCATTTTGAAAATAGTTTGAACATTTCCTGTAAGGACACAGAACTAACAGACTTTTGGAAACCTTCTTTTCAGGCCTGTAAATTGCTCTCTGATGACTTTGAACAAGTGCGCAGTGCTGCGGTCCAGCTCATCTGGGTTATCAGTCAGCTCTATCCTGAAAGGTAAATGTGGGCGGAAGCCAGCTTTTGTTCATTGCTAAGCCATTTTTCTCTTCTCACCTGGCAAAAAGCCCATCTTTAGAAAAGGAATGTTGGTTAGATTTTTAGAAGGCATCGTGAAATAGGAGGAAAGCACAGGCCCCGAAAATCAGGGTGCCTGGTCCTTGTTTTTGATCTCTGATAGGAATTTTCTGTGTACCCTGAGAAAGACACTTTACTTCTCTGGGTCCCAGTCTTCTCATCTGTAAGTGAAGAAAATAGGATATCACGCAGCGCCTGTGGCTCAGTGGGTAGGGCACCGGCTCCATATGCCAAGGGTGGCGGGTTCAAACCCAGCCCCAGCCAAACTGCAACAACAAAAAATAGCCAGGCATTGTGGCGGGTGCCTGTGGTCCCAGCTACTTGGGAGGCTGAAACAAGAGAATCACCTACGCCCAGGAGTTGGAGATTGCTGTGAGCTGTGATGCCACAGCATTCTACCAAGGGCGATAAAGTGAGACTCTGTATTTACAAAAAAAAAAAAAGAAATTAGGATACCTTTCTTTAGTGCTTTTCAGCACGTTAAAAAAAAAAAAATCTTTAGAGTTATTGGGACCCATTTTAATTTGGTTTGGGCCAAATGCCAGATAAGGATACCAGCTGAGTTTGAGAATAATGTTCCCTTATGTACAGTTTTCCTGGTTAAAAATGTTTTCACAGCAATTAAACCATTGATTATCAGAGGTTATTTGAGGTAGAAATACAAATATTATTTATTCTATTTTATAAATGATCTCCTTCCATAGGGAAAAAAGATGTTTTTTCTTCCTTCTTAAACTGCAAAAATTGGAAAACTAGAATGAGTTAATAAACCTACAGGAGTAGACTCCATTTGTAGTTTTTAAGATTTAGACATATATACAGATTAAGACTAATTGGAGGCTCGGCGCCTATAGCTCAACTGGCTAAGGCGCCAGCCACGTATACCTAAGGTGGCGGGTTCGAATCCCCAGCCCGGACC